ACACACAGACTCAGTGTAAGTCACAGGAGGTCGCCTGCTGCTCCTGAGCATCTTAGGAGGGAAAGTTCTTTGGAATATTACTAGTCATACAGACTTAGAGGTTACTGTCCACCAGATATCTCTATCTAAGGGTGGTTTCAGACGTGATACATGGCTTTGGTTGAAATGGATACCAGCTAGTAGCAATGGATACCAGCCAGTAGCCTAGTGACTAAGAGAGCTGGGTCCCATATGGCTTATCACAGTTCAGATCCCACCCCGGCAGTTCAAATCCTACTTAGTGGCTTGGAATGAAGAACACACCAGGCATATGTGTGTGCCCAAATCCCAACGGGATGGAAAAATAGAGTCATGGCATGACCATACCCCATTGTGGGATTCGTTCTCTCTCTCTCTCTCTCTCTCTCTCTCTCTCTCTGTCTCTCTCTCTCTGGTGAGTTCACACGCCCTCTGACAGTTAAAAAATTAAACAAATAAAAGAAGAATGGGAAGGGGGAAAGTCTACAGAAATCTCTTTTTTTGTCATCACCTGAACTCAAAAAGAAAATAAAGTATCAGAAGATTTTGAGACAACACAAAGGCATGAAAGTTGTTTGAATAGTCCTCACCATCTTCTCCTTTCTTTGGGATCTATACACCTACCATAGTATTTATTATTTCGGGGGTGGAGGTTTAGAGGGAATCAGAGTGACTGTTGTTATTAAAGCAAAGAAGCAGTGACTGTTGTTATTAAAGCAAAGAAGCAGACAGGAAATGGGACAGTTTCTTAATTTCTTTCTGAACAAATTTCTCACCTATAAAATAAGAGGTTCAGATTACATGGACTCTGATGTTTCTTCCCCATGCTTTAAAGGGGAAGAAAAAAAAACATGTGTTCCTAAGTACCAGATACTATATTATCTTACATAGTCCTCAAGACAACTTGAAGGGGTGCTATTATTATTTTGTACATGAGAGAAGCCATAGAGAGATCAAGTAACTTGCATAGGGCCACACGGCAAATTAGTAGTAATTATCAGATTTGAACCCAAGTAATATAATCCTAGAGCCTGCAGTTAACATCCATGTTCTGCTTCTTATTAGGTAAAGTAGGTCGCCCAGAGTGTCCTGATACACAGAACAGACAAAAGGATGTGTGCCCCAAGACCTGGAAGTGGGCCAGGTTTTGTGAGCATCTGGCGTTGGAATCAATCCAAAATCGATATTTAAACAACAGTTACCTTCACCTCAAATTGTCTCATTGTCTGACTGCTGAGTTTTGAATCAGGGTTATGGATAGTGTTGCTTAGTGGTTTAGTATAAAGTCTAAAAGTCACTATGCCTGTACTGAATAACTCTCTCTCTCTCTCTCTCTCTCTCTCTCTTTCTCTCTCCCTCCCTCCTTCCCTCCGCCCTTCTTTAAAGGAGTAAGCATTTGGAGTGTAGAAAAGATCTGGGATGCATTCTTAAAGTACAAACCCAAGTAAAATCCAGACATGGTTTCCCTTTGAGATCGAACTTGATTCCCCTTCCTCTGTTCTTTGGTTGGCTGTAAACTTGCTGTAAACTTCCCTGGGAGGTTTATCCTGTGGAGTGAGCCTGTATAAGAAAAAACTATGGGCCCTGGGCTTTAAAAAGGAAAGTTAAAAGGTTAAAAAATAACCCCTCTCTCCACCATCCATCCTTAGAATTACACTTTCCAGCGACGTCTAGTTCCCTTTCCTGGTAGATATAATCCTAATTAAAAATAAATTACATGCTGTATAGAACTTGAAATGGAAAAGATAATCCTATTACATATGAGAATATATCCTGATTTTCTTTCCCGCTAAACTGTGGGAGATATCAGATCAGGCTGAGCCCCCCATTGTCGCCGCTTTGAAAACTTTCCTGGAGCCCTAATCGGTCACGTGACGGCCGTGTCAATCTCGGTGTCTGCACGCGAGTTTCACAATGCCGGCATTAGGCTCGGTAACAGAAACCCAGCTTTGCGAGCCAGCAACATTTGCATTCCGAGAAAACGCCGGCCATTGTGGAGCTGTGTTTGTTCTCAGGATTGCGAGCAGTTGCCAGTGAAGTTGCTAAAACCGAGAGAAAGGGACTCCTTTGAGCCTGCCCAGGCCTTTTGGTATGATAACAAGGCGATTTGAGCGGCTTTTGTGGGGCCGGATCAGCTCTGGGGAGAACTCGCTCCCCTCCCCAGCCCTCCCCCC